TTGGGTCTGGACTTCCTGTAGGCCTGTAAATTCTGTTTCAAGGCCTCAGACTACATTCGGTCATCCTTACACATTACAAATGCAGTGTGTGCCATTACTAGCCAATGAGATCTAATGAGAAAATAGTTTGGTACAATTTGTAACTAGCATACATATAAGAAAAGAAGTCAAGGTTTCTTAATGCTGCCTTTGTATGCAAAGCTGACATGTTAAGGTGTTAGTAAAGATCCAAATGTAAAAATGGAATGAAGCAACATTTAGAAGTATTTTATTAGCCATATACAAGTAGTGCTGTTTTCATAGTTTTTCTCTCCTTGTCAAAAACTTTCATTGTTTTGGGCTTTCTTGCCTATATCCTCTGTCTGGAAAGAAGATGCTTGGGAGGGATTTAACTTTGAGGGCTGGGGATATAGCTCAGTGGCATAAGCACCTGCCTGGCAAGTGCAAGGTCCTGAGTTCAATCCCCAGTACTGCAAAAATAAATACATAAATAAATATTTTAAAAGGAACATTAGCCAAGTGTTATAGCTTGTAACTAGATGTCCCCCCCAAAGCCACAGGTGGTTGGATTAAGGTTGTGAAGCCAGGATTAAGTGTGTGGTGCTGGGATTAAGTGTGCATTATCATTGCATTAGTCCACTGATTGGTTTGGCACAGTTCTGGGTATGGATAATGGGAAGGACCACCCTCGGGGTGCTACCACCCAAAGGATGGGTAGCCTGGATGAGGATGAAAGGGAGGGACTGCTTTCTGCCTGCTCTGCTTTGCCAGCACTGTTTTTCTTCTGTGATGCTCCTCTGCCATGCCACCCTACCTCAGGACCAGCCAACTATGGACTGAAACCTCTACAAATTGTGAGCCAAACCTTTCCTCCTTTAACTTTGAGTGTCGCTTGTTTTGTCTCAGCAATGAAAATTGGGACTAATACACTAAGAGTTTTATTGAATAACCTAGGTCTTCCTGTTGTGCTGGCATGTTATAATTGTCTCAGGTCTCCTGTTCAGCATTAGTAAGTGCTAGCTGGTTGGTGAAAGGTTGTTTGGGATACTGATTGGAATGTTAACTGGAAGATTCCTGAAGTAAGGAGTTCAGAAGTTTTAAATTGCATCCCATTCTAAGTAATATAACGAAGTCTCACACTTTCCTGTGCCACCCTTGAATTGAGCTGTCTCTCTTCTGATGTACAGCATGGTAGGCATGCCCTCCATTACCAGGTCAGTCATCTCAGTGTGCAGTGCTTATGTTCAGGTGACCTCAGGGGCGCAGCTGTACACTCTTGAATGCCTCCACCTCTCCCTGCTAAGGTTGTGTCACTCATGTCACCACAAGGAGAAAAGATGTTTGTTCACTGCGGTAAGATTTTTTAACTTTTTATTTTATTGATACAATTTAGATACACATAATGACCACATTCATCGTAGGGAATCTGTACCTATATATAATATATGTTGTTGCTTTTTCCCATTCCTTTCTCCTCCCTTCAACTTTTCTTTCTCTGCTTATCTATAAAAGTTTTGTTAAAAAAAAAAAAAGTTTTGTTTCCATTTTTTCTCTCCTGTTCTTTTTTTCATGTCCCTTCTTACCTTCCCCCATCTCCCCATCTTGTTCCCCTTCTCATCTGAACATTTTCTTCCTTTTTTTTTTTTTGTATTGTAGAGAAGGGTCTACGAGGGTGTTCAGGGTCTCACTACTAGATTAGACTCATAGTCATCTGCCTGTTTACAGCCTCCCCAAAGCTGGGATTACAGGCGTGTGCCACCATGCCCAGTCTCAGTTGTCATCTCAGTGCACCCCCGGGATGGGGCCAGCATGGCAGTCCCAAGGTTTGAACCTCCAGCCTCTGCACCTGCTTGCAGGCATTTTAATCTGCCGAGCTATTTGGCCAGCCCATCTTCCTGTTTCCCAGTATCTAATATAAATGTATATTTGGGTCCTTATTTACATTTTCTGCTTCCCACACCAGAGAAACAATTTAATTTTTAAATATGTGAGCCTGATTTATTTTACTTAAAAGTTTGGTCTCAAGATGCCTTCATTTGCCTAGAAATGTTTCATGCTTGTCCTTCTTTACAGCAGAGTAGTATTCCATTTCATAAATGAACCACATCTTCTATAGCCATTCATTGGTTAATAAGCTATTTCCAAGATTCAGTTATTACAATGTGCCACTGTAAAAGTGGGTGTGCATATATCACTGTGGTATGATGCTTGTGATTCTCTTGAGAATATACCAAGAAGGAAACTCTAGTGTTAGTTTTTTAAGGAATCTCCACAGTGGTTGCACCAGTCTACACTCTTACCAGTGCAGTAAGATATATGAAAGAATACATTCTTTTATTTTATAGTATATTGTGATGATTCTGTTTTTATTACTGTTATTCTCCTATAATTTCTACTTAAAAATTAAATGGTATCATAGATATTTAGGTACAATATAGGAAAAAACCATACTTTTGGGTTCATTTGGAACTCTACTTGGTTTCAGGCATCCACTGGGCATCTTGGAACATATCCTCTGCAGACAGCTGGGGCAATCAGAGAGTGTTCAGAATAATTCATGTAGTCATTGCTGGGGGGGTTTGTTTTTGTTTTTGTACCAAGAATTGAACTCAGGGCCTTGTGCTTGCCAGGCAGGTGCTTGTGCCACTGAACTATATTCCCAGCCCATTGCTCTGTATATTAATAGTACACATGGGGGCTGGGGAGATAGCTCAGTGATCTGGGTGCCTGCCTGGCTAGCCACCAAAACTGAGCATGGTGGCACATGCCTATGATCCTAGCACTGGGGAGGCTAAGACAGGAGAATCACTAGAGTTCAAGCTGTGTAGTGAGACCCTGTACCAAATAAACAAATAAAAGACAGCTATCTAGGATTCTATCACAAGTACAGTTAGCCAGGGCTGTTAGAAGTTGTGGTTCTAGAGCTAATATTCAGTATAATTTAAAGGTTTTAATGGGTCACTTTTACTGTGTTTTGAGGTACTGCATGACAGAGTGAAACTACAAGTTATGTTATGTATGTTTTATTGTGTAAGAGGGAAATATGTTCAGTTAGAAAGGAACTGAACTATCATTAAGTGTGACCGTGTCTCTGAAGATGGTGTTCTGCACTGGGATGTGTAAATTATGTTGTCTTCAGGAAGTGTATCCTGTCTCACTCCTGAGACCTGTGCCTGGATCACCACCTGGCATAAGGAGCATCTGCCGCTAGTTATTTGCTGGCTGGCTGGCTGGCTGGATGGATGGATGGATGGATGGATGGATGGCACTGGGTCCACACATAGAATAATGTTGGGAGAAAATTAGATCAAAATAAACAAACCAAGATTATGTTATTTTCCTTGATAATTTACTGGGTTTTCCCTGGTTCTACACCAACATATGTATACAGATAATCTCTGGCCTATGATTTTCAAACTTTGCAGTGGCATGGAAGTGACACACATGCAGGAGAAACTGTGCTTTGAATTTTCAGCCTGGTTATGTGGTATTGGACTCTTGAGATGCTGGGCAGTGACGTGGCCACAAGCACTAGTCAGGACCACAGTGACAAGGGGAATATCAGAAGCCTTCACATGTGCTTCTTGACTTAGGGTGAGGTCATGTCAGGTAAAAACAGCGCAGGTTGAAAGTATCATTAAATACATAATCCACACATATAACACAGTTTGATGTATAGTTCAGAGGTTCATCCCCCAGTACCGCTGCCCCCCAAAGGGCACACCTGTAAATCACAGCACTCTGAGAGGCTGAGACAGGAGGATCACAAGTTGGAGCCTAGCCTGGGTGATTTAGCAACTTAGTGAGCTGATGTCAAAGAAAGAGGGGGTAAGGAAAAAAAGTGAAGGAGGGAGGAAGAAAAGGGAGGAAGGAAGGAAGGAAGGAAGGAAGGAAGGAAGGAAGGAAGGAAACAGACAGACAGACAGACAGGCAGGCAGGCAGGCTGAAAGTGTGGCTTAGTGAAAAGGTCCTGTGCTCAATTTCTAGTACCACACAAACACATACCAAGTCATTTAGTACACCTCATATTCCAAACATAGCTTAGCAATTGTGGAGTAGCAGCTATGCCCTCTATTGTCCCTGTGGGAAGTACCTCCAGAGAGTTATTGGACAGCATAAAATGACCTTAGGAAAGAAACAGAATTCAACATTTTAAATCTAGTTTCATCCAAGTGCACATCACTTTTGTACCATTGTAGAACTGTACATTGAACCATCATAACTCAGGGACTATCTACAATATGTGATTTAACTGTTACCTCTATAGGTTAGGTATATGAAATTCATTCTTGCCGTTTTTGAGATAGGGGTCTCACTTTGTAGTCCAGATTGGTCTTGAACTCACTTTGTAGCCCAAGCAGGCCTCAAACTCAGAGCGATCATCCTGCCTTAGCCTCTTGAGTACTGCGATTATTGGTGTGTGCCACATCAGAATGTTTTGTCTTCTTAGAAGCATTTCCCTCTGACTGCAAAAACTTGGTAACTAGAACAGTATAAAAAAGGAATATGATCACAATCATATTTGATTGTATGGAAATGATTTTACTTTTTTACCTTTAAGAGTTTTTTTTTCTTACTCTGCCCAGTCTTTAAAAAAAAAAAAAGTTCTTTCTACTTTGGAACAGGAAATTGTATATACTTGAGAATAAGATACTGAAATTATAACCTACTGTAGCTTTTCTTAAAATACCACCTTTAGTGTGGTAAAGAATTTAAATAGTTTTGTGTGTGAGGACAAAAGAGGGGAGCACTGTGCTTGATGAGTTGATCTGATGGCCTCTTACCAGCCCTGCTGCTGAATGTTATCTGTGATGAATGAACAATCCTCTCATTACTTAGCCCTGAGCCTCACAGTGGGAATGGATGAGGAGAGTGCATCGTGTTATGTCTGCTCACAGTTTGACTAGCACGGTCTGGAAGTGGGTTGTACAGGATGAGAAGGAGCAGCCTAATTGCTCCCGCAGAAGCAGCATCTAGCAAGCATCCTGGGAGGCTGCCCTGCGTGCAGCCTGGTCACATGGGCCTGGGCTCTTGGTTCAGCTCATTAGTCAGCCATTTTGGTCAACACCCAGCTCACTGCGCACGACCAATCCTGTGGGAACTCAGCATCCCGGCTCGCCGAGCAGACACTGCAAGTGATTTCTGCAGTTTGGATCATTTTATGGCTGAATTGAAAATATAGGTTTATTTCTCATTCATTTTTTTTTCCTTTGGTGTTTTTTCTGCACAAAGAAAGGATTTTTTTTTCACTTATTCATGCCAAGGCCAATTTTTTAAAGCCAGTGAAGGCAGCATTGTCTGTGCAGGATTAGAAGCTCTGCTGAGAGAAAGGGAAGGAAAGATAGAAGGAGTGGACGCTGGGAGAAGACCACCATCATCGTCCTGTTTTCTGCGTGGTAGGAGCTGTAAGAAAGATAGTGCAGAATTGCCTCTCCGAAGTAATTACTTCCATAAGGTGTTTTTCCTTGTGGTGTTTTTAAACCTCCCCACCCTTTTTTGCTTGAAAGCTTTGTTTCAGAGCTTTGGATTGGGGACTTGTGTGTGTGTGTGTGTGTGTGTGTGTGTGTGAGAGAGAGAGAGAGAGAGAGAGAGAGAGAGAGAGAGAGTGTTGTGGTCCCAGCTGAGTCATCATGTCTGCTCTGACGCCTCCGACCGACATGCCAACCCCCACCACTGACAAGATCACACAGGCTGCCATGGAGACCATCTACCTTTGCAAATTCCGAGTGTCCATGGATGGGGAATGGCTCTGCCTGCGCGAGCTGGATGACATCTCACTCACACCTGACCCAGAGCCAACCCACGAAGGTATCACCAGCACCCTCCTTCCTGGGGGTGGGAGGGTGGGGGAGAGGCAGGAAGAGGTGAATTGTTAGCGGTTCGAAAACCCCTGGCCTGCCTCCTCGCACACCAGCCACCCACCTGGCTCACTGGGGTCTTCTTTTAGAAGGAGCTTGTGCCTCTTAGAGGTCTTTGTCTTTAAGACTCCAGAGGGAACATCTGAGGTCATATCACATCTGATCCTGTAGATCATGAACAGCTATTAATGCAGAACGTTAAATCGTCAGAGATGTAGTGATTCTTAACAATAAGACAATATGACTCTAAGTGTAGGGTTGTACTTGATAATTACAGTAGAAATACTAGAGAAGTATCTTATCAGGATATATTATTAAATAAACTGTCAAGTATTTTTTTCTTTTACCAGGAAAATACATAATAGAATACTATCCCTGGTACCAAAATAAAAAAAATAAATAAAATAATTGGGTTAAATTAGAAAGCATTTTTATATTTAGCATTATTCAAATGAGTATTTTATTTTATTTACATTGTCATTATTATTGTTATTTTGTCATTTTGAGAAGGGTCTCACTATGCAGTTCAGGCTGGCCTTAAGCTCACTTTGCAGCCCAAGCTGGTCTCGGATTCACAGTTATCCTCCTGCCTCAGCCTCCTGAGTGCTGGGATTACAGGTGTATGCCACGATACGCAGCCTTAAGTATTTTATTTTTAATACTTGAAGAAGTTAAACATGATTAATGTATGGTAATCCCTTTACATGGACTGTGGGGGGCTCTTTATGAGGTATTTATGCTAATTATTATGACTCATTTGCAGTTTCCACTGTCAGTGTCTTTGAAATCTTTGTGGTCTTACTTTCTCCCAAAACCTTCCCTAAATTGTACAGGGGTTTTTAGCTTCTACTCATAATTCTCTTAATGTTGAGCTGCAAATGGTTTTGTTTTTAATACAGCGGCTTTCTCACCTTACATTTGTTCTCTGCCCGTAAAATAATAAGCATGAAAATGCTTGCCTGTAAAGAGGGATCCTTTATGAACATCTGTCTGCCTGGCACTTAGGCGTATCTGTCAGACAGAGGGCCATGAGGGGAATCACACACATCAGTACAATTAGGAGAGTGATTCCCATCCCTTGCCCTTGGGTTCTAGTCTTATCATGACTCAGACTTTACCCATGAGGTATGGTAAGGACTTTACCTTCCTATTCCAGTGTAGCCTTGAGAACATTTTAGGAGAGGGTTAATGTCACAGAACACACACACAGTGTTTAAGTAGTTTGGAAGACCTTTGGCTCCTTCTGACAGTAGGCTTGTCTGTTGAATAGCTTCCTTCATCAGTGTTTCAGAATATGCACAAGGTTAGAAGCTACCAGGTGAAATCTCATACAATGACAGTACTGTTTGAACAGCCTCCAAAACTTTAAAAAAAATCTTTAGGGAAGAATACACTTTTTTTTTTTTTTTAGAATACACTTTTTAAAGGCTACCAATTTGCAGGGAGGGTATGATGGCTCAAGCCTATAATCCCAGCACTTGGGACAAGAGGATCACGAGCTACATAATGAAACCCTGTCTCAAAAAGTCAAAAAAAAAAAAAAAAAAAAGCTACCAACTTAAAAAGCTTTTGAGGATATAGCTCAACTGCACAGCACATTCCTGGCAAGTGCAAGGTCCTGAGTTTGATTCCCAGTACTACTACTACTACTACTACTAATAATAATAATAAAGCTTTGCTTATTTTGTTTGGGGAAAAAAATCTGTTTGGAGATTTGTGTGATATCAAATATTCTCTTAATTGTAAAATCTAGTTTCTCAGTGTCTCAAAAAAAATTTTTTTTAACGATTCCAATACTTTGAAAATACCTTTATCCTTAAGGTAAGCAGAAGTGGCCTTGTAGTGTTCTTGTAGACATTTATAGTAATGCTATTTGAATTCCTTTTTTTTTTTTTTCTATTTGAATTCTTCACTGACAATTTTAGTTGCCACAGGTCTAAACATAGTCATATGGAAAATTATGAAAGCTACAAACTTAAGCTATAAATGACATATTCTTTGATTTAAGGATTTCAGGCAAATAACTTCCCAAGTCCAATACTTTAATCAACTAGAGAAGATACATACAGAAAAAAATGGAGAAATGCTGTGAATTGAGGGAGTTTGCTTTAAATTGGGCAAAAGAACCAGTTGTTTTAAATGATGAGAAATGAAAAGAATGGAAAAACTTCGAGGGCCATGAAAATGTATGAAACCCTGTGTGGTAATAGTAAGGCAGCCGGGCACAGTAGTGTATGCTTGCAATCTCAGCAATAATGACCTAGGAGACCAAGTGGTGCTCTATGAAGTTGTATTTCCTTATGCCACTGAGTATCTAAATAGTCACTTAGAGCCAAGAGACACTGCTTTAATGTTTGGTTGGTTGGTTTGTTGACTGATTTTTTTTTTTTTTTTCGGAACCAGGGATTGAACTCAGGTCCTTGCACTTGCCAGGGAAGTGTTTATTCCAGAGACATCTCCCCAGCCCTGATTTTGGCTTTTTGAGACAAGACCTTACCATGTATTCCAGGCTGGCCTCACCTCACAGTGATCCTCCTGTGTCAGCCTCCCAGATGCTGAGATTGCAAGCATACACCACTGTGCCTGGCTGCCTTACTATTACCACACTCGGGTTTATAATGTTTGCTGCCACCCAAGAAGCACCATAGGTCATTTGTTCTGGTGAAAAGGAAAAAGATTTATTCTATTTCCTCAGATCTCCATTCACTATATTTAGAAGTGCTGAGGCTTTTGTAGTAATTACGGAAGGGAGAGAAATGTAGTAAGATTAAAAAAAAAAAAAACAAGGAAACTCCCTTTTGCCATTCTTGGCTCCTTCCAGCTTGAGCTAGTGTCCTTCTGGACCAACACTGAGGGGGGTTTTGACACAGTGTTACTTTTCTGTGCATTTCCCACCCTGAGGAGAGGAGAGATAGCCACTTAGTGTCAGCTGAGGATGTCAGAGAAATAGCCACTCTCTGAAAGGAAGAAGTCCTCTCATTGTTAAAGGTCTGTTTGACCCTTTGGTCACATTATCTGGGTGACAGTGGAGGATTTGAGTGAGGCTAAGCATCCATACAGTGGGCAGTGACTATGTCAGCCTCACTTTCCTGAGTGAGCTGCTCCTGATGCTGAACCACAGGGGCTCTACACTGCTTCCTGACTGGTTCTAAAGTAAGAAAGACACCCCCACTCAGTTCCTGTGTGGGGCTCCTGACTGCTCCTCTGGAGGGAGGCAGCTCAGCACAGAGGCCTGTGGTTTCAAGCTGTGCTATGTGATGCAGCACTCCATGGTTCCTGTGGTTCATGGCATAGGCCAGCCTGGCTGCTCTAACCCCAACCTTGCTTGGGTATGAGCTATACACCTGACCATCTCAGTGCCATCTGTAGTCTGTGAGGTGATTGCGCTCTTCTTTGTATACATTCTCTTTTTTTAGGTTGGAGCAACCCCAAAACAGTATTGACTGCAGGTAGATTTCCCATAAAAACAAGAGCAGGGAATAGACCAGAAAAGGCTGGGCCTGTGGAGGAGAACTGTGTACCTGACAGATGAGGGGAATTGGATGGGTGCCCCAACCCAGCAGTTGGGTCCCCTAGGAAGCATGGGTGGAGAGGTGAGGAGCACAAGTGAGGCTGCTTCACAGGCTGTGGCCAGAGATGATCAGGGGCCAGATGAGGAGCCCTTAGGGGTTCAGGTCCACGAGACATGATGTGAGACTCTTGTATGAACTATTGCTCCAGCTGAAGCAGGTGGATCAGAAGGATATCCTAAGGCCCCCAACCACAATGAGTAAACTATCATAGTGAGAGATGACCATCCCAAACTGAAGCACTGAGTGGGCTACGCCAGGGCAGGAGCAGGTGCAGGAGTGGCCAGGCACTGGATGGTGAAGGGGCCAGGCTTTTGGCTTCAGGTCCTGAATGTCTCTAACCAGTAAGGAATGCAGAAGAAAGAAAGTTTTAATCTCTGATGCTAATCTAATACATTAGATTATCTATTAGTTTAGCCTTCCCTGTCCACACCCACATCAACATGATTCAGGCTCAGCCTCTTCACGCTAAATACCTGTTTACATACAGCTTCCTGAAGGAGTTGGACACCCACTCTTGGGAGGGGGCTGGGAGGGAAAGAAGAGTGAGACAGAAAGTGATGGGAGGGACAGAAAGAGTGAGACTCAGGGATTTGAAGGGTAGCTCACTTTCCTTTGGATCTGTTAGCACCATAGGAGCAACCAGGTTTCTATACAATTTATTTTGCTTTTTCTTATTAAAACACACCAAAGCTAGTTGTGGTGATGCATGCTGTTAACTGCAGCACTTGAAATGAGAGATATCATGAGATCCTGAGTTTGAGGCCAGCCTTGTGAGTTCAAGGACAGGCTGAGCCTTACAGTGAGCCCTTGGTGTGAGGTATGGGGTGGGACTCTTCACCTTTGGGATAACTTGGTGATACATTGTGTGAGGTGGGTTGTTGTTGTTGTTTGTTTGTTTTTTTTAGTTTTTGAAGTACAGTGAATTTCAAAGTAAAGGAACTTCCAAAGCACTTTGGAAGATTTAGAGATTATGTGCCCTCTATTTTTCTCAAGAATGGAAGCACAATACCTACTAGATCTTTAACTAGTACAATAGTATCAGAAATTGTACTATTACTGGGATGCTCATGTACATCTGAATTACTTAGAGTAGTATGCTCAAAACAAGTGTATATAACCCAGAATGGGAGAGTAATAAAGACTTTTCCCAGAATCTCTTAGCAAATATGTGTACTTGGACACACATATACGAAGAATGGGCTGGGTGTGGCGTCATCTTTCTGTTATTAAATGTTTAAAAACTCAGTTTACAAGTTTCTTCTGTGAGGTAAACCTATGGCATGCTTGTTACTGTATTTGTCTTAAAAAACAAAAGATGTTAATGTATGAATTATTTTTCCTAAACTAATGCCTCAGTATTCAGATTTAATTGCAGTGT